AAAAAAAACTATTTTAAAGTTCCAAAGTAGAATATACCACCTTTATAAATTCACGGTTCAATTTAGTCATTTTCAAAGTAGCACTCCCGTTAGATAAAAATTCTTGAGAATCATCGGGTTAGCTCTAACAACGATCGAGTATCACGGTGTTATCGTAGACGCTTTTACAGTGTCTGCCCTCTTTATCTTGCATTTTTTCCGACATCTCATATTTATGTTACTTGGATCAGCGTTTATCGGGCTACCACGTGTTATCTACGCGCGAGAATGTTATGGGGGTTCTTTGGTCTAAGCAGCTACAAGGTCTCGTTTCTATCAAACTACTCGTATCGATGATAATCGTGATGCTTAAATTCCAAAATAATATTCAATTGATAAAATTTAATTCGAATCAAACACTTTACTGTTAAAAAAAAGAACAAAATATTCTAAAAGTTTCGTCGACGCGAGTCCGGCAGAATTACGTGCACGAACGTCCTGGATAGTATTAGCAGAGAGTAATGGAAGTGTAATTGAAACATTTGATAGATACATTTTTGAAGATGAGAGTGATAACGAACACGCAACATAGGCTTATTCGTTGCTGTTCATACATAATGATACAAAGGTCTTAAAATTACTTCTTCTATCTGACCTTGCGTCATTTTAAATATCATTATATGTTTATCGATTTATAGCTACGCGTTAAAAATTGACAGAGACAAGCATGTACATTGAAATAATTTTTAACTCGTAAATACATCAATCCGAGGACTATACGCTTCACAGAGATTTTTATTTCGCACGCGTTTATATTTAGACTCATTTTCTTGCATTGGTGATTAACAAGAAACTCGAGGTTGTAATAACCGAGACAGACACAGTTTCGTTTACTTTCGTTTCTATCGAACGAATTATTATAATCGCCGAGGGTAAACAACGTAGGTCACGAGCGTAAACGAAAACATAAACACAGGCGGTGCAGCGGTCCGTCAGGTATTGCGTGTCCGGTTGCAGTTATTCGATACTTGGTTCTTCGTTCGAATGATCTCAAAAACTCGAACGCGACGTGGTTTTAGCGATCTACGTTTCGTTACAAACGCAGTTGGGCAAAGAAAAGTTCTTTCTTGTCTTTATAATTTCGTGCGTCTTTCCTGTTCGCCGCGAGTGAAAATGGCGCTCGACGAATATATTTTTCTGTGGCTCCGGGCTCTCGAGTAGCTAATATTTATTTTTAAAACTGCAATCTACCGGTGGAGTTGCGTAACAGATTTTTTCACGCGCGCAGGTTAATGTAACCAGTCCTCGCACGCGAACAGCGACGAATTTCCCTAGCGCGAAAAATCTTTCGAAAAGTCTTGGAGAAAAAAAATGGCGGCTAGCATTCTCGTCTCTTGTTTTATACGAAACGGCGGAAGAATGAAATCCCGTTGTATTTTTTTCACCAGAGGGTAACGCGCTTCTCTGACAGTGAAAATACTTTCTTGAAAGTTTACGCCGTTGTATCATTGCGCAATATTTTTACGCTGCTTTAATATTCATCGGGGCTTGAATAATTCGTCGTTCCTTCCGCGAGACAAATATTTTTTAACAGCCGCTTTCTACTTCGTAACCTACGCTTTGATTGTTGAAAGCGAGAGGAACCTTTTGCGTTGTACGGAATGAAAATTCGAGCGTTTTGTAGGTTAAGTTCGTTCACGAATTGATTACCAATTTCAAAGTCACGATTGATACGTTGTATAGATTGGAAGATTAAATGCAATCAGGATCCTCGTAACAGAAGCAGAGGTTTAATAAAATTGTTAGATTATAATTAATATGTCGTATATGGAATAAAAATTCGAGCGTTTTGTAGGTTAAGTTCGTTCACGAATTGATTACCAATTTCAAAGTCACGATTGATACGTTGTATAGATTGGAAGATTAAATGCAATCAGGATCCTCGTAACAGAAGCAGAGGTTTAATAAAATTGTTAGATTATAATTAATATATGGAATAAAAATTTGAACGTTTGTAGGTTAAGTTCGTTCACGAATTGATTACCAATTTCAAAGTCACGATTGATACGTTGTATAGATTGGAAGATTAAATGTAATCAGGATCCTCGTAACAGAAGCAGAGGTTTAATAAAATTGTTAGATTGCAATTAATATGCCGTACTATAGAGGGTGGCGTTACGAGGAACACAATGCTAAATATAATCGGTATGCAGTCAGACGCATGAAAGAGCATTCATACGAGAAGTTGAATCGTTCGCTTTAACAGAGTTGTTGGATCACGATAAATATTATGCATTCATATACAGGGTGTTCGGCCATCCCTGGAGATATTTACATGAGCGATTCTGGAGGCCAAAATAAGACGAAAATCAAGAATACGAATTTGTTGATCGAGGCTTCGTAGATTTGCAGAAAAGAATTTTTTTCTCAAAATTGCGTAGGATTTCAGGGGTATGTGTATCCACCAAAAACGATTGTCATTGACCTACGCAGCTAAAAATAATTTTTTCGGAACGATTTGAAATTTTTTTTTTCGCAGGGGAATCGGAATTTCAGGGTCAGACATTGCATTTTCGTTAAGAATTTTTTTCTCAAAATTGCGTAGAATTTCGAGGGTATGTCTATTCACCAAAAATGGATGTCATTGACCTACGCAGCTAAAAATAATTTTTTCGGAACGATTTGAGATTTTTTGATTCAATTTTTTTATAACTTTTTAACGAAGGCTCGGTTAAAAAATTGATATTCTTGATTTTCGTCTTACTTTGGCCTCAAGAATCTTCCATTAAAGTTTTTCCCAGGGGTGGCTGAATATTCTGTATACGGTGGCGCATAATAAAGAAGACGCCAAGTGCCATGAGTACACAATCGCGTATGCAATGGTAGTTCAATAATAAAATAAAGTACAGCGTGTAGAAGTAGACGCGAATACACGTTTACTCTGCAAGGACGAGTTACAACTGTATCCTGTCATTAACCTAACCTAACCGATCAAAGTAACAGAGAATCATACTCTAAAGTTCGCAGACATATACTACACAATATATACCACTACTTTTCAAACCTTGATGTAAATTTGTTTAACAATACGTCCTTTTTATATCAGATTGTCTTAGAAACTAAATAATAAAATAGAATATACATAGTCTGTAAATGTAGAGATAAAAACATACAGGGTGTTCAGGCCATATCTGAAAAAAAATTTTAATGGGAGATTCTAGAGGCCAAAATAAGACGAAAATCAAGAATACAAATTTGTTGATCGAGGCTTCGTTAAAAAGTTATTAACAATTAAATTAAAAAATTTCGAATCGTTCTGGAAAAAATATTTTTGGCCGCAGGGGTCAATTACAATCATTTTTGGTGAACAGACATACCCTCGAAATCCTACTCAGTTTCGAGAAAAAAATTCAGGAAGGTGGACAAATTTTTCTTTGAAAATGAAAAGTTTCAAATCGTACTAAAAAAATTATTTTTAGTTTCAGGGGTAGATTACAAGCATTTTTGGTCAATAGAAATACCCTCGAAATCCTATTCACTTTCGAGAAAAAAATTCAGGAAGGTGGACAAACTTTATTAATAATATTGTTAATAATTTTTTAACAAAGCTCCAATCAACCTTGTATACAGTAAAAATTTGTATTTGAAACCAGTGTTGGTTGTATTTTCCTCTCGTATCTTCGTACATGCGGTATATTCGAATCAGTATCCGCCATTTTTTATTTTTGTACCGGGCGCAGCTCGAAATATGTATTCCAATTCTTTCTGCGATCTCTATTTGAACACGCATTGATCACGATCATGGTTAAATCTCGTTTGAAAAATGCAATTGGATGGGGTACGATTCAAACGGGTCGAATTTTTTCGAAAAATGCTACGTCAACGTCGCCGTCGCGGCGCGCTGGGTTGTTCGAGAATCGATATCGAGGTGAGAAGCGAGGCTCGGCCGGTTACGTAACAAGCAATATGGCCCAACTTCGAGCGCACGTGCGTTCACGCGTATTCATCCACGTTCCTGCTGTTTTGTCAATGTTATACTTAGCACCTCTCCGCACGCGCCACGCATCTTAAGTTCATGACTATTTTATGATCATTCGACCGACCGACTGTTCCAATTTCAGAAAATGCTCTCAATATTTTTAGACTTTTTTGCACCCATATTCGTACTAAACTTATTCGCGAACTTTAAAAAGATACTTTCCACTAGGAGGCCATCTTTTCCAGAGCGATCTTTGGTATCAAATAATTATCATTCAAGTAACTTGTAATTATTGTAAATCAGCTTCACAGAAACAAACAGTTTAGTCGGAAGAGCTGTGAAAATTTTTAATCCTTTCTGAACTTATGGTTCTTGTCGGACCCCTTAAGTAGTCTCGGTAATTGACTCGCACTACTGAATGCTCAGACCACGTTCTACTATTCTACTCGCGTTCGCGGATCAAAGACCGTGTACCCGTTTCCACGGTATTTTGCAATACAAAGAAAACCATCATGCCTATTTGTACAGTGTTATTTAATATTTTTATTAAAAAATCAACTTGAAATAACGTATATTTCCATTAGTTCGTTGGAAGCTTGGATCTCCGCTTGTTCGCCGCGAAACGTTTCGCTGCATAATTCCAATTGAAACTTGTATACAACGGAAGTTTGTTGTTCGACGTAACTTTTATCTAGATAAGAATATTGACCGTCTCTGACCCGTCCATTCTAAATGACTTTCACTCTTCGTTCTGTTCGCCGTTCAATATTATCGTACTTTTACTTAGCAATAATGCTTGTCTCCAAAGTTTCGATTCAGCCCCCGGGGAGCATTCCCATTATACCTCAAGACGTCTGTACGGGGGTCGAACAGACACGTTATGGTATTCGTGGTCCCATCGCTTCGCTCTCATGGTAGCATTCATTTCCAAGTTCGAGCACGACGACGATCGAGGCGCGTCGGCTGCTCCTATTGATTTGTTCGTTCTCCATCCCCTCCTCCCTTACACGCTCCCACCCTCTTTCCGCGAAGATCTTTGACCCCCCTTCTCCCAAATACGTGTGTGTCGCAGAAAAAGCCCGTGAATGTCAAGGCGGGTCGCTGGCGAACGCGCGTTTTGGGGTGGCCCGGTTCCAACGGGAACCCCCGATGTCTGGAAAACGAAACAAACATTAAATCTTCCATAAAAAATAATGGAAACGTTACACGATGCGAATCAAGTAATTCAGATCCTACTTCCTGTTTAATTCTTTCAGATAACTGATCTAAACAGGAAATAGGCAACGGTATTATTGTACATTATTTTCAAGACAAATTCAATTCGCGATAAACGTACAGTCAAATTAAAATGAAGCATCAAACCATGATAAATACTTGGAATCCCCCAAAATAAACAACAATTGGGGGACGCCAACCAAGAGAATTTCACCGATAATTCTAAATTATTATTTTCGAAAGAAACAATGTTTTTGAATCGTGTTGCGTTCGTTCGTTTGAAATATTTACTCATCGTTGTTAATAAGCACTTGCGTGCAATTAGACGTATACTTGAAGATAATAAAATTGTGTAAAATTAACTAAATTGCATGGTAAAGTATGCTGTGAGATTAGGAAAACACGCTTAGGTAGATTATTCGATCGATGAACGTCGGTGCGGAGAACGCCTATGGGCGTTTGCGGCGGGGATTAACCGTTCCATGTACGCGGGAAATACTTTCAAAATTATTGTACCAGGACCTACTATCGAACTAGAAAAGCTAGGTGTGGGGGTACACTGTGTTTAAAAATTAGATGTGTTGTATACCAGTATGTATCATCATGTTCAAAACTCCAAAAGATCTCAAACTTCTTTCCTTAGTGATTTCATCGTTTATCTTGACTTACACCTGAACCTTGACCACTGACTCATTTTTGGAAGCTCTCTCTGTCTCCCCACCTTTCCCTCTTTTCCAACCCTGCATATATAACCTTTGCTTTTCCCAAAAAGAAGACTCCCTGATTCTGATTCAGTTACACGAACGTGCAAGCTTTTAGTCTAAGACTACGAATAGTCAAATTGTATTTCCACGCCATTAACCTAGCATTCCGACGGTTATTAAAGTACTATTAAGAGGAATACAACAGATGTTGAACCTTATAGATATCTTATAGCAGATAGCTGTCCTCCAAAACCAAGCTAACGTTTCTCTTTCGAGTCCACTGGCGCGCGAATCGCCCTATACATAGCGTACAGATCCGCCTCGCGGCGCGCTACGGTTTGAGAAACACTGTCTTGGATGACGTCGACAATCGGAAGGAAGAATTCCGCGGGCAAAAGCTACCGTTGGTAAAAAGCAGGAAGCGAATTTTTCCGTGGATCGCGTGGAAGCGTCGTTTCTGCATCGGCGTTGCACGTGTCGTGGATCGTAGACCTTTCTGGCGTTCCCGCGTATTACGTAACGAGCGGCTCGGGGGCCGCGCCGGTAATAAAGCGCGGCTTTACACGCGCTACGTGTGTCGCTGTGCGCAGATGTGTGCGTACCGTGTGCGCTGCACGGGCTGCGCATCGGTCTCGCCGCGTTGTCGCGATGCTAGGAAGATTTAGTGCATACTGCTCGCCACTTTTACCCTGACGATTTCATTTTCTTGCGGTGGTACTGGTCGGATGAGAGGAGAGGTCAACGGTTAAACTACAGGACGGCCAACAATACGCGTTCGCGTTACCGTCGAGCTCGTGGCGTGTGCATTTAATCGTTCGCCTTCGTTCCTTGTTCAAAAACGATAATTCCATCGCTTTACATGATTATCCTATCTCTGTTAGTGTCATATATTCGTTGAAATAGGTTTCAGTCTCGTCCCTCTGTTCTTGTCACCCGAGCGAGCGACTTGTGACGAGGGAATGGTGTATCGTCGGTTTTCATGGCAATTGCAGTCGGCGTTGCTGTTTTTAGAGGAAATTGTTGTACCGCCGCGTGGTGGCGCGCGCGTTTGATCGACGCACGTGGGAATGCAAGGCGCTGAGACGCGTCTGGTCCCGCGATACGTGTGAAAACTGCGTGCGGAACGGGCCGCCTCGGGTTCAGGTTATGAATAGCACGTGAGTGACCACGAGGGCCCCCCGTCACATGCACGGCCATTCGACTTTCGAATCGCTCGGCCGTCACGAGACGTTTATACTTAACTCCGAGCGGTGTGCCGCGCGACACGCGAACGGGGGAATCCCGCGCGGGGTGGACGAACCAGTACACCGCCGTTTTCGCGTTTTACGACGCCAAATTTCCGACGCGTTACGACACCGGTTGCGACCGCGGCGAATTTTGTTGATCAGAAATATTACGTCGATATAGTCAGGCTTCTGTAACTTTCCGTTGGAATGCAATCGCATGATCTGGATGCAAGCCCTGCGTAAATATGAATATTGTAATGATCGTTGTTCGAGTATTATTATTTGAATATTCAACGATTCAAATACTCCACAAGGGTTAATAAGAATATCGAGGAACGATAAATCATAGTGAATGTTTCTATTTCTTGAACCAATATGTGTCCAGTTGGTTATATCGATAATAGAGTCAAATTGTTTTTTAATATCTCTTGTTTGTTAAATATTAGGGTTACTTTCAGCCCCGTTGTATATTTGAATCGTTTTTAGCGAAACGGTGGATCGAAAGAAGGGAATTTGTTTTCGCGGTTTCGCTCTTGCATCGGGAGGTTGAAGAACTTTTGTCAATTTGCCAAATCTAGCGTCGCCGGACTCTTCTATCGACGCTCTCCTTTTGTGCTTTTCTGTTTGCATAGCTTCGACGTCTAATTTCAATTCAGAAATTGCTCTTCCATTGCCAGTTGAACGTACACGTGTTCGGTGTCGAGCCCTCTATTATGTAACAATTATTTTACAATAATTATGTAACGTGTAATGGGAAAGAAGAAGTAACGAAAGTTTGCGTAACTGGTAAAAGTGCAATTTCTTCGGAAAGCAGCAACGATAGTCGCAACTATCACTAAAAAAAGGAAACTAGAATGAATACCGGTATTGCAATACCAAAAATACCGAGTATCGATACTTCAGGTACCAAAGCATATCGAATACCGGTATTCAAACTATAAAAGAGTATGATATTGGTTCTGTAACTATCAAATAGAGTCAATAATAGCGCTATAAATATCAAATACTTTTGAATATTGAGCTCTAAGTACCAAACATGTTGAATACCACACTTTCAAGCCCCATATACTTTGAGTACTATTAGCTCAAGTATCAGTTGCTATGAGCATCAGTATTTCAAGCACCAAATACTATGTATATTGAGCTCTAAATATTAAACTCTTTGAATACTAGTATTTCAAGTTCCAAATACTCTGGGCACTGAGCTCAAGACACCAAATACTTTTAATGCTAGTATTCTAAGCACCAAATACCCTGAATATTGAACTCAAAATACCAAATACTTTGAGTGCCATTATCTCAAGTACCAAACACTCTAAACCTCGAGCTCTGAATACCAAACCCTTTGAATACCAGTGTACCAAGTACCAAACATGTTGAATACCATAATTCCAAGCACCAAGCACCAAATACTCTAAATATCGAGCTTTGAATACCAAACACTTTGAATACCAGTGGACCAAGTACCAAACATGTTGAATACCGTAATTCCAAGTACCAAATACTCTAAATATCGAGCTCTGAATATCAAACACTTTGAATACCGGTGTACCAAGTACCAAACATGTTGAATACCGTAATTCCAAGTACCAAACACTTTGAGTGCCACTATATCAAGTACCAAATACTCTGAATATCGAACTCTAAACACCAAACTCTTTGAATACCAGTATTTTAATTACAGAACACCCTCGAGTACCGTACTTTCCAGATATGAAATCTTCATTATCCCGTCCAACGCGATCCACAATTTAAATAGTCGATCGTATCTCGGTCTTTTATTTCACCGTCGACGCAACCGGCTTTTAACTTGTACGATGCACCAGGTATTTGAATTCTGGTATGCGGTTTCTCGGAAGCGTTACATGAACGCGCGAAAGCGATTCACGGAAGGCTCGCGTCTGGAAAATTCATAACGACCAACATTTTTATTTCCTACTTCTCCGCAAACATTACGTCTCGCCAATCGTCTCGCGCGTGTTTTTTTTTCGCGTCCTCGTTCGACGCGTCCGCGACAATCTTCCTTTCGCGGGCAGGCCTCGGCGGCGTACGCGATGCCTGGGATAATTATTCAATGGTCTAATGAGACTCGAGGAGTCGTAACTCACGGTGAGCTATTGCGCGAAATCAGTTGGCAGTGCACGGCCGCTGTTCTGTACAATTGCCAACGAAAGGGTTGGTCCATTGAGTTCATTGAGCACGGTTTAGTAACACTTCTTCAAATATTTCGGCGTTGCTTGACGCACCGAAATAGCCCCGTGGGTTTTCTGGCCGCGGAAAACGATTCTAGCCTGTTCGAATTCCGTCCCGCGAGGGATGAATTTATTGGGGCCAGGCGTGAATGAGTTCATTAACAGTTCACCGTACCGAAAAAGAAAAATTAACAGCCGCTCCGATTCGGAACGGATGTCGCGCTATGCGTCCCCTCGATCGTCAAGTTTAACTCTTCGCGAGAAACAATCCCGAAGCAGGTGGTTGTTTCGTATTGAAATCATTGGAAAATAAAGTCACTTCGTTAAACGCTTTCTTCGAGCAGTCTTTTGTTCCAATATGGACCACTGCATTTTCAGTACGGTCTATATTAGCGAGATGAAAAGTTTGCGAAGACGTCGAATTCAAAATTTATTTTAGCCCGATGGCTGCTTCAACGTCGAAGCATCGAGAAGATAAAGTTGATGCTCTCGGTTATAAATTTTGACGCGATCGTTCGGGGAATACCATCTTACATTTTCGATGTAATAATATTTATCGATCCCTGAATAACTTGGGACGGGGAATACTTTTTTTTTTCCCCACGCAAAGAAAAAAAAAAACCCCCCTCCGAGTACTTAACGACGTTAATAAGCGTAATGCACGCCATTACGGGCTCGTATCAGTGGTAAAACGAAACCGTGCGCGAAGATCCTTTTTCCCCTCCGTCTAAGCGTGTCACAACACGCCTTGTTTTCGCACATATGCCCGTCCCGGGTATCGAATTACCGAGAATGCCACCGGGGCATGTATCCACGTTTCCCAAAACAGAGTCGAAATCCTACGGTATCGCGTGTCGCGGGATGGTTATTTGTTATTTCAGACGGACACCGTGATTCCCCGTGGACGCTCGTTTCCAAGAAACTAGCGTTCCCTTCGTTTGTCTAGCTGTGTAAAAAAAATCGTCCCGATCCGGAGGATCGAGGGATGCGTTTACGCTACGAGGAACATGAGAAATTCTTGGCTCGACGTCGCTAAGGCTCTCGATGTTGACGTTCGTTTGCTTTGCTCTTGGGAGATGAATTTTCACAGACGGTGAAACGAACCGGTGACGTGTGATTTGTCCACAGCTTGGTTCAAACCTAATCGAATCTCATGTACATTGTACTGCACGTTAATTCGAAGACTATCCCTTAACACTAGATTTATAGGCATTGATCGCACGTATATTTATTGATACCTTTCATGTTGACGATTACCTTACAATACGATTTTTCTTTTAATTAGAATATGTATTCATGCTGTTGCATCAGTCAAATTCAACATAAGTTGTTAAAAAATAATATTTAATCTAGTATTAAGGGGTAATACCACTGTAAAAACCCGAAATTAAAAGTTTTTTGGTGATTTTTTTTTGGATGAATGGAAAAGTAAGAGGATAATGATATTCAAGAATGTTATTAACCATGTCGTTAGGGGTTAAAAAAAATATATTTATTCAAAAATAGTGCAAATAACGACACTGGAGCCACTCTCGCGAGGCGTGTTTTGAATTTGAGGTGCAATGAACTGGCTTTGTATCTGGAAAAAAACAAAAAATTTTCTATTAATCTACATGAGTGTAGCTAGAGAAATAAGTAGGGGATCTTCGATAAATTAATTTTAACATTATTTATTGACAAATTATTGCCCCATTTTTTCTACAAAATTGAACTTTTTACTTCATACTTACTCGCTAATCATACAAAAATTAATGTTTCCAAAATCCCCTACATATTTCTCTAGCTATAGTCATGCAGGTTAAAAGAAAAATTTCTTTTTTTTCCAGATACAAATTTGCATGTTGTTAGTTCCACTGTTTGCCGCAAAACGCCTCGCGAAAATGGCTCCAGCGTCGTCATTTTCCACTATTTTTGAATAAATATTTGTTTTTTAACACTAAACGACATGGTTAATTAAAAAAAAAATCGCAATAAAACACTTTATTTTCTACAATGGTAATATCCCTTAATATAAAATAATTTGAACTAAAGTATTTAACTATAAATACAAATATGACCATTCGATGGAATAAATTATTATTGGAATAAAAAGTTTGTCCATCTCTGCCCATAATTGTGGATTTATAGTGATCTCTTTTTTAGGCTTGTTAACGCGACAGTTAGTGACATCTGTCAAAAAACGTTGCAAATAATTTGGCATTGCAACATAACGTATCATAAGAGATACTGCTTTTATTGAGTTATCATTTATGCGAATAATCGTGTTTAATGCACTATAAATAGATCAGCAAATACCTATACAGTCACTGGTTGATCTGTTTACGAGGTCTTCGCTCGTTTCATACGTTTGAGTAGGTTTTTATGAATAATTGTAATCCCATTTGCGATGGTTCTGGTTCTCCCACTGAATTGGGAACTTACTCCCTTTATGAGATTCTTGACTCTTGTGTCCATTTATGATGCTCTTTGTCACTTCACCGGAATATATGGCTGCTCGTTCTATTCATCTGATTTGCTTGAATATCACGAAGCCTATCATTAAAGCCTTTCATTTACAATTCACTTTGGTAATAGTACCATGTGTGTACAAATTAAAAATTTTGTGTAATTTCAGATCTTGAGAGATTTTCACGTTGTTTTATGCCTTTCTGAGGCTCAGATCTTCCCTATTGTAAATATTCCAAGTAATTTCACTCGCTTGAGCACACAATTTCACTTGTCTTAGAGCATAACATTTCCAATTTTGCTCGTACCATTTGTTCAACTTTGTTCGAGAGCTATGGAACACACTAAGAGGAAAATTGTGTATCTAAACAGGATTAGAAATCGTACAGAGAAATTGAAAAGAATAAAATGTGTGAAAAATGAATTTTACGAACCTCGACGAGTCCGAACGGTGGTTCCAAAGTTCAGAGAATGGCTAGCTCTTTTTTCTTTTTTTCGAATAATGTGTACGATGATTCGAGGTCGTCGCAGCAGTATGTGCCTCTCGTGATTGCACGTACGAACGCAAGGAAGTCGCCAGTCGATGATATTGATTTGCTCGGGCGAATGGCTCGAACCAGCAATCCGATTTCGTGCTCCGCAAACATTGTCCACTGTACGCTGCGTGGAACGTTAAATAATTAACGGGGAACGCGACTAATAAATAAAAGGGAAACGCACGAGTCGACGGGGCGTAAAAAGGTACATGTAAGGAGAGTTAAATATAGTCGAAGCGCGATGGAATAAAATATAAACGATAACTGCAATCTATAATGGAGGTGCACGCATGCAAAGTGTGCGATAAAAGCGAGCAAAGGTCTGGGAAATTATTTCTGATAGCTAATGGAGAACATGAAATGGAAGTTTTCTATTTTATTTTTTTTTATACCGAGTGTTCGATCAACCCTGGGAAAAATTTTAATGGGGGATTCTAGGTGCCAAAATAAGACGAAAATCAAGAATACCAATTTGTTGATGGAGGCTTCGTTAAAAAGTTATTAACATTTAAAGTTCCGTTTGTACTGAATTTTTTTCTCGAAAATGAACAGGATTTCGGGGGTATGTCTGTTCACCAAAAATGATTGTAATTGACCCTCGGAATCGAAAATAATTTTTTCAAAATAATTTGAAATTTTTTTTTCCATCGAAAAATCTCATACCTTCTCGAATTTTTTTCTAGAAACTGGGTAGGAATTCAGGGGTATGTCTATTCACCAAAAATGATTGTAATCGACCCCTGCAATTAAACATAATTTTTCCAGAACGATTTGAAATTTTTTTTTTTCGCCGAAAAAAAGTCCATCTTCTCGAATTTTTTTCTCGAAAGTGTGTAGAAATTCGGGGGTATGTGTAATGACAAAAAATGATCGTAATCGACCCCCGCAACCGACAATAATTTTTTTAGAACGATTTGACAAATTTGTTTTTCGCCCAAAAATTTCAGCATCTACTCGATTTTTTTTCTCGAAAATGGATAGGATTTCGAAGGTACGTGTATTCACCAAAAATGATCATAATTGACCCCCGCAACCGATAATAATTTTTCCAGAACGATTTGAAATTGTTGAATTTAATTGTTAATAACTTTTTAACGAAGCCTCCATCAACAAATTACTATTATTTTGGCCTCTAGAATCTTTCATTAAAATTTTTCCCAGGTATATTTCATAGCGAAAATGTCGAGTCGTAAAATTTTTGTTATGGTATGATTTGAATTTTGATGGCATGTTTATTTTTTCGCCACGCTATTAATTAATAAAATACCGTAAAAAAGGGGGAAACGGTATGGTACGACGGAAGGTTTTATAGCATAAAAATTGTGAGGGTATCTTTCCCAATCAGGGCATCGACTTTTTACGGGAATTCTTCTTTCCGCCAGCAACTGGGGGAATCCATGCATCCTCTTTAATTTTTCACGTGCAACGGAATCGATTGAGCGACGGCTGCTCACCGAGATACATTATCGATTCGCTTGTTCGTTCTTGGAGACCGGAAATTCGTCCATAGACCGCTATCAATTAACAACGTTCGGTAATTATTACCTACCAAGAGATCCATTACCCTTGGTCGTTTTCTTTCTATTAAAAATACTCCTACTTTCTAAATTCGTCTAAATCAGGTAAATCTACAATATTTTTAACACAGTGTCGCTGCAATAGAAACACTTTCAATTTTAAATACTTTCAATTTTAAGTATCTTCAAATACCAATAAGTATTTCACGCGTTAGTGGCATAAAAATCGCTAGAATCATTTTTAAATAATACAAATCGAGAATGTACGCGAGTTCTTTTGCGGCTTCTTTGCACTCTTGGGGCGTCGCGTACATACTAGTACTTAACATTATTTTTCCTCGATGGACATAGCACCAGAGAGTCCATGAATTATTTAATCTCTTCGAAGATAAAATATTATTTATTATAGAGATTTAACTTAATATTTCTTATAACGTTTTCGATTAAATTTAAGCCTCTAGATATTTTTTTTTTTATTTTAATTTAATAACATTTAGCTTTTGGCAAAATTCAAACGTCAAATATATTTTCGTCTCGAAAAGCGTTTATCAAAAAATTCTATTCTCAATTAATTTGTTCATCTTTCTCCCATATTATTCAGTATTGATTAGCGATGCATCGTTGATCTATTTTTTTTTTTTTATTCTGATTCTATGTATCAGAAGCAATAAATCATTAGTACAATAAATGTTGAGATCTGAAGTCCACCTCGTCCAAATGAATAAATCGACGTTAATGTGTTCACATTGTTAGCATACTTGTACTACGCACATAGCGACGGTATACTTAAATCAATTTATTCCCTCATTAGCCTAAACACACGATAGATAAATGATTTCGTTTACTTTCAAAGTTTATGACGAGCTTTGTAAACATAATTTCACTGAAACAAAATTATCCTATTTTATTCTTCTTGGAATTAATTTAATATACTCTCTCATTAACTTCACTTTATCCCAAGTGTAATCGTCGGTTTAATAGGATTATGGTCTAAAGTTCGTCCACGTCGAGCAAATAAATTAATTTTAACAATATATTAGCATCGTTCGTACATCCGTGTCCGTGGAAGATAAATGTTAGAGAGTTTATCGTGTTGAACCATACAATTACACTTAATAAAACTCGTATTCCATATGTATCATAACAGTAACTTTCAAATCTAAACCAATCCTCCATTACGAAACAAATAAACCGAGCATGCATGGAGAATGATAATGCAAAATCTAGAATCTTACCAATCTCGTTTAAACAAAGTTCCTCCAACTCCCAAAATCAAATTTACCAATTTAACTCGAAACCTTCAGAGCTGCGTTTGCGTCGCGTACCAAGTCTGAAAATAAATTTACACAGCAATAATGTTTGATATATTGCGTAGCCCAATACACGAAACAACATTGCTACATAAATTTCGTTACAAGCAATTACTCAAACCGGCCGACGGGAAGTTAGACGGCAGTCAGAATTAGAAGTAGAATTAGAATTAGAATCAGAATCAGAATCGATCCTCTCGTTGGTCTCGTTCAACGTACAAATGAAGAGACTAGGTAGGGGTTAATGTCCTTGCCCGTATCCCGCCAAATAAATAAATCAACGTTAACAACACGGCTCTTATTGCTCCGGTACAACCACATTCGTATATCATAGTGATTGATGCGCGATGCGGACAGGTATGCGGTCTCGATCAAAATATGTAATAGCCGTCGCATTGCTAGGGGGAACCTTATAATTCAAACCAGTGGTCACTTTTGCCCAGCGCGAGACGCGTCGAAGAAGCAAAGGGGTATAACGAAGAAGCTGACTTGGCAAGGTGATTGTGCGACAATCGTGCCGAAGGTGTCACGAACTCGAATCTAGTAACCTCTCCTCGCGGTGGGGGAAGACAGCCAACCGATGTTTTCGACAACGTAGCTAGCCGGTTCTATAATAGTCCGACGTTCCAAATCACTTATGTCTGCTCGTTCTATCTGCGAGCCACCTTATAAGATCATCAGCCCGCCAGGACCACGATGAACGGCGTTCCTTCGTCGTTTTAATCGATTTTCCGTTACTCGAAACGCGAACCCGCGTCGCAGCTTAGAATCTGTTACTTCACGCTTCGCGAACCTCTGGCTCTCCTCTTGCCCACCATTGTTCTACGATCGATCCCTCCAGCGACTGGTATCTCTGCGAACTATCGTCAACGTTGAATATTATTTTACATGTTTCTCTACATGGTGTAAATCCTCTAGCCTCTACCACAGTTCCTCCGCGTTCCGCTCTTTCGTTTGTTTGGCGTGGGTCACCGACGACCCACGCTAAATGTATTTCGTTTCAGTCGATATCTTCATTACGATGCATGAAAAATGTATATTTCACGAATTCGATACTACTTTTGTTTGGTTTGTTCAGCGTGGGCCGTCGGTGATCCACGCTAAATATATTTCATTTCAGTCGATATTTTCATTACGATGCATGACAAATGTATATTGCATGAGCTCGATAGAAATTCGATACTACTTTTGTTTGGTTTGTTCAGCTTGGTTCACCAACGACCCACGCTAAATGTATTTCATTTCAGTCGATATTTTTACTACGATGCATGAAAAATATATGTTGCACAAATTCGATAGAAACTCGATACTACTTTCGTTCGATTTCTTTAATAATTCTGGACTCTAGTCGCCATTGTGGACTTGATATCCTACCCTACTCAATTTTGAAAACAACTCTTCGTCTTCTTCTCTTTACTACCACACAGTTCTGCAATAAAAATATATTTTTGTTTTTCATAGCGGTGGAAGACTGACGTAAACATTAATTTATTAACTTACTAACGGAGGATTGAAAGTAAATGCATGTTCGTCCATTAAAGTTTCACCGATTGTTTCATTTTTTAAACGCATTAGCGTGCAGACATGCTATTAATATTGATTTATTTATTTGCCGATGGAAGGCTGCTCGGCCTTCGCCCCTATTCGATCCGATACAATAATCACGTCTGCGATAAATATTTAAAATTCTCACTTGAAAACTCTCCACGACTGTTCACCTTGCGATTTCTGCCCACTTTGTTTCCCTTTCCTGGCCATCTATTGTTATTTATTTTCCGGCTGTTGGTTCCCCTGGTCTCGTATCGTTTTTCATCGACGCTACTCATTCCCGGGCAGCTCTTGGACTCTACTATCTGAATAGTTGAGCATTCTTTTGGTCTTTGCATCTGCTACCAGTTCTGCATGCTTTAATACGCTATGAGTATACAGGCACGTCGCACCTTCCGCGCGATTGATTTTTTTTCTAGCATTCTTGCGAACTCTTGCCTTCTTTGAGCCTGGTTAGCATCCCTGTCGCGTGTATTTCACTTTTCGATATGTTTTGATGTTCCTAACTAGCCTTTATCGCCACCATCCGTTGCTCTTTGTATAAAAGTTTAGCACTTGAACTGTTCTCGTATCTCCTTTCGCACAGCACCGTTCCTACATTCTGCTATTTCTAGGCAGTTGCGAACTATGACCAGAAGGCATAGTAGTTGCGGAATACTTTCGTCTTTGCATCTGTTATTAGTTCCTCGGGGCTTAAATACACCATTAGTTTATTTATGTTACAATTGCTGAAAAAATTGATCCTTTTC